TTAATCTAATTGTCAGCAACTCTAAGAAAGGGTCAGCTCCAGGTTGACAACACTACCAGAGGCAAGTCCACAAGAGTCACCTAACCTAAAAGGTAACTTTTAGAAAGATTCAGTTATTTAGTATCATGCATGGAAAAGATATTAATTCAAGTAAATCTGATGAGATAGAAGTGGTGGGTGTATCTTGCACATTCTCACATTACAAATGCCAAATAAAATACTCATAAGATTTTTTAAGAACAAGTTAAAAATGCTTGGAAGAAGTCATTTTTTTGTGGACCTGTCTGAGATCTTTGTAGTCTTTTCTAATAATATCAGAAGTAAAATGAGTATTAACTGTAGGTAAGATAATAGTCTCTACTGCCTAATACTGCCAGAGTGGAATAAGGAATCAAAGGCCATATCAGTTACTCAGTTACAGGCTAACTCAATAGAGGTCCCACACAAGATGGCATAAGCCAGCTTGGCCCTTCAAGCGATTTAGACCTGCTTATATATAGCAGTGCCCATCTGTGTCATAGAACTGGTTAGCACAGCCACAGTCCTGCTGTATATGGTTGTTTTCTCACAGTCATATTTTATTTGGTTTTATTCCTATTATAAGGAGTAGAAAGATTTTAACTAAGTACCAGAAGAAGACTATGCAGTGAGAGGTAATGTTTACCAGTTGTATATGTAAAGACACTATAAAAAGCAAACTATGCATTTCAATATTTATATCACAGAGAAGCAGAAATTTCACCTGAAAAACAAAATGGGAGCACTTAGCTATTTCATGTCATCGCTTGCAGAGCACTGAAGCACTGACATGATAACTGGGGCAGACATAAAGACAGGGCAGGACAAAAAGAGAGGACAACAGCTAGCAGAGCATGCAAGAACCCTGACTTGATATCACCTGAGTCATTGTGGTTTCCCCAGACTGATCCTACAAATAGCTATATTCCAGGAAAGTTTAAATTAATCTCTTTCTTTCACGTATGCTACATATGCCAACAGTGGTGAGGCTCAGTCTGAGTCTATACAAAATGCACTCATTCAGAACCTTACCACAAATGCTGCATCTAGCAAAGCTCTGCTGGAGGTAAACTTTTCCCAAGATGTGAATATAGTTGACAGGAAAAAAAAATTAACATACTTATCAGCAATAAGTGAACCCTGTAATTTGTAGAAATAAATGTCGTGAGCACAGGTAGATTTGCTTCTTTCTTCAGAGTTAAACAGGAAGACCAATATCCAGTGATTCAGACAATTCTCTGTGTCATTTTCCCTCCATCTGTCCCACTAGCCTTCACTATACACCTCTTATTGGAATAAAAAGAAATACTGGGATGTTGGCAGGAGGCTCACCTCAAATAAGACAGTAAAGATGAACCTACACTATTTGTTTAGCAGTGCTGGTCAAGCACAAGTTAACATTTTTGCTTCAAGATAAGAGCACTAAGGTATTTTGGGACCCAGGAGCTGCAAAGGCAGCAACTGCTTCCACAGCAATACCAAGAGGTGTTAACTAAGGGGCTTCAGGGTTGGTTTGTACAGCACATTTTCTTTCCTCTGAATACTCAGAAATGTGGTGGTAGCTGCCACCTCACCCTTAGGTCAGAGGAGGAGTACAGGATCATAATCCTGACTCTCATCTTGTCAAGACATAACAGCTTTAAAGCCTACACAGTACAGGTGGCCATCTTTTTTGGACTGCCATAGATGCTGAATGACTCCTCCGCACTGTATTTTGCTACCATTTACAGCCACTTAGCCATCTTTTTCTTGGAGAGAAGGCTCCTCTGAGGAGAAAGGAAACAGTGCTGTGCCCCAGCACTGCTGAAGCTACCACTTGCGCGTCCTCACGTACATGCTTTCATCAGCACAAAACTTTAATCTCAACAAGAAACAACAGATGGGAACCGACCAATAGAAAGAATTCAGAAAGAGGAGACAACATCCCAGCACGGAAGCTGTGGTTGCAGCTCCCTACAGTGAAGTCACCTGTAGGTATTATGGCCAGAGAGAGTTTTAAGAAAGATTTGAGAATGGATAGCAAGAACAGAAGTTGTTCTTTTCAAAGAAACACCTCAATTACAAAAGAGCATGCAAAGGTGGCCTTTTAATAGGACACACCAGGGTAGTATTGCTGGCAGGACACCTGCATGTGCTGCTGCCTTTCACACAGGTGTCCCCTCCTTAAATCCAAGTACTCTTCTGGATGCCAGGTAATGCTGAAACATGGGATGACGTGAAGGAAAGTCTTCCTTTCCACATCATATAAGTTACACTGCAGACTCAAATAAACCACACTGTTACAGTAACTTTGCAGGGCTCAACAAAGTCAGTGCATTTTGCTGAAATTCAATGAGTTTTCTAAACAAGTAATTGTGTTAAAGAAAGGAGCACTAATAAAACATCATAAGCACAGTTTGCACAATAGATGTTTGTTATTATGCTACCAAATAAACCTGTATTTTGCCTTAATTATCTTAATAGCAGTTGTACTCAGAGAAGTCCAGAAAATACAAAAGCTTCTATCTCCATTGCAAAGGTTGAATAGACTACTAAAGCTAAAAGTCTTCCCATAACAACATACATTTTATTTTTACCTTTTTTCCTTTCTTTGTGAGTGCTCTTGCATGTGTCTGCGTACAATTTACTAACTGTGCTGTTCTTAAGAGCTGGCAGACTTTTGCTCAAGCTTCCGTCATAGTCTATCCATACAGAACACATGGAACTTCTGACAAAGCAGAAAACATGGGAAAAAAAAGGCTGAAGAGCTTCAGAAATGCTAACTGCATGTATGGAAAGGCAGGTTTGTTTAAGGGTTTTCCTTGTTGTTTTTCTTATGGACTTCCACTTCAACATTCAAGAGGCAGGTGTTTGAGGACATCTTCAATTCTTCTTAGTGCCCAATTATCTTCATCAGCTAAACCCACGTTAGCCAAACCAGTGGGTTAAATACATCGTGCAGAAGAAGCAAAAACATCTGAAAAGAAAATGTTACACATATTAAAAAAGATTGATGTTTATATAAAAAGCAATAAACCTGCATACTTGATTTTAAACAATATTCTAACATTGATTTGTTATTCATATATTATCACAGAATCACAGAATCATAGGGTTGGAAGGGACCTCAAGGATCATGAATCTCCAACCTCCCTGCCACAGGCATGGCCACCAACCTCCACATTTAATACTAGACCAGGCTGCCCAGGGCCCTCTCCAATCTGGCCTTGAACACCTCCAGGGACAGGGCATCCACAACCTCTCTGGGCAGCCTGTTCCAGAACCTCACCACTCTCTCTGTAAAGAATTTCCACCTGACATCCAACCTAAATTTCCCCTCCCTCAAATCAAAACCATTTCCCTTTGTCCTGTGGTTATCAACCCTTTCAAAGAGTTGATTCCCCTCCTGTTTGTAGGCTCCCTTTAGGTATTGAAATGTTGCAATGAGGTCACTCCGCAGCCTTCTTTTCTCCAGGCTGAACAAACCCAGCCTGTCTTCATAGGGGAGGTGCTCCAGTCCCCTGATCACCTTCGTGGCTCTCCTCTGAACCCTCTCCAATAGCTCCCTGTCTTTTTTGTACTGGGGACTCCACACTTGGACACAGTATTCCAAATGGGGCCTCACAAGAGCAAAGTAGAGGGGGACAATCACCTCCCTGTCCCTACTGGCCACCCCTCTTTTGATGGAACCCAGGATGCTATTTGCCTTCTGAGCCACAAGGGCACACTGCTGACTTACGTTGAGTTCATCTGTCAAGACCCCCAGGTCCTTCTCCACAGGGCTGCTCCCAAGGACTGCTCTTCCAGTCTGTACGGATGCCTGGGATTCCTCCGGCTCAAGTGCAAAACTCTGCACTTTGCCATGTTGAACCTCATCGAGTTCACCCGGGCCCACCTTTCTAGCCTCTCGAGGTCCCTCTGAATGGCATCCCTTCCTTCTACCATGTCAACTGCACAACTCAGCTCGGTATCATCATCAAACTTGCTGAGGTTGCACTCGATTCCATCATAGATGTCATTGATAAAGATGTTAAAGACGCCGGGCTCAAGACAGACCCCTGGGGGATGCCGCTCATTACCGGCCTCCACCTGGACATAGAGCCATTGATGACTACCCTCTGTCTGCGGCCTTTCAACCAGTTTCTTATCCATCGAGTGGTCCACCCATTAAATCCACATCCCTCCAATTTGGAGATAAGGATGTGGTGGGGGACTATGTCAAAGGTCTTGTTCAAGTCCAGGTAAATGACATTGCTTGCCTTTCCCTTGTCCACCGATGCCGTCACTCCATCACAGAAGGTCAGCATGACCTTCCCCTGCTAAAGCTGTGCTGGCTCTCTCGGATCACACGCCCATTCCTCACGTGATCAAGCATGTTATCCAGGAGGATCTGTTCCATGATCTTCTCAGGCACAGAGGTGAGACTCACTAGCTTGTAGTTCCTGGGGTCCTCCTTGCTCCCTTTCTTGTAAATGGGAGTGACATGACACTTCCTCCAGTCATCCGGGACCTCATCTGACAGCCACAACTTTTCAAATATGATGGAAAGCTGCTTGGCAACCACCTCAGCCAGCTCCTTCAGAACCCTGGGATGCACGCCATCCGGCCCTATAGACTTGTACACATTCAGTCTCATGAGGCTGTCTCGGACCTGCTCTGTCCTCACAGCGGGTGGGGATTTACCCCCCCAGTCCCCACCTAGAGGTTTAGGAATGCACGGCTCAATCCTTTTATCCTTTTGATTTTCCATAATCAGTGACATTTAATTTGAATTCCTTTTAAGCAAGTTGTAATTAGGGCTTTATCGTATTTAACTATAGGTATATAATCCCTTAAGTCAAAACAGAAACGAAAATGGATGGCACTGTGATCAGATCTCTCATTCCAAAAATATTTTTTGCCTCCAAAGCTTTGCATGGAAGAAAACACTTCTGAAAATGATACAAATAGTTTTGACATTAGGCAAAGTAAACAAGCAAAATAAACATGGAAAAATCATACGGTCAGTTTGCAAGTGCTGTTTATTGTTTGAGGCAGGGTTAAAGCCTTTTATAAAGACAAGAACATATATGCAACCAGACTGAAAGTGACATTAGGTTATTCTAAACACCCGTATTCAGAACCTGCTGCTTATAATATGCCATGGCCAAAACACGTGTAGGCTTCAAAAAGAACAATATAATATGAACAAACAAGAACTGCTGTTATTTCAGTAGCCAAGAGAGAAGACAAGTGCCATAAATACTTTTAAGAACTATTTCTGAGGGAAAAAAAGAAAAAAAAAAGAAAAAAAAATGGGCCTGTAGTTTTCCTTTCTCTAGTATCTCCCAGGATAACTTGCAGGACATTGTAACTATTGTAACTGTGCAGGACATTATCAGACTCATTACAAGTGACCAAAGCCTACTTTACAAACACCAGTTTGTGTAGCAAGTGGTATGAACTAGATCACTCTATATTGTTCATCACTGATTTTAAGTATCTGCTTGATTTATTACAGACTTCTTGAGTAAATGAAGTCTTCCAGTTACTGTGCAAGGCCTCAAACCCTCAGCAGCAGCAAACTTTCCTCTGTCACTCCATCAGTCTCACTATTTTACACAGATCAAATTTTGTGATTGGCTTAAACATCCAGTTCACTTCTCCGCACAAAAACAGTGGACAACTTCTAAAAATTAACATTTATCCTTAAGGAAAGTAAATTAAGAGCACCATCTAATTACATACAAGCCAAACACAGCCAGAGAGTGGTGACACTCAGCCAGGAACAATATGCATGCATTGTGAACAGTCCAGAGAACAGTATTTTTGCATATTCCTGTGCCAACCACACTGTAACTAGTAGCACTGAACATGATATATTTGTTAATTATCAGGATCATTTTTCACAGAAAGATGTTCATGATTCCAAGTATCTCAATCCGTTTCTCAGAGAATCAAGAAATAGGCTATGCATTGTTGGTTTTTCACTGAAAACTTCACAGTAGCCTTTCTTATGTACACTCCAAATGGGATTAAACTGAACTTTTCTCCAGAACATATTAGTAAAGCTGTTAATTATGTTAATTCCGCCAGTTAATTTTATTGACATTTTTCCCTGCTGAGTAATCATATCCATCTGGTGGCAATTTTATTTTACATCCCACTTTTTAAGCCCTTTTTCCTTCCAAATTTAAGTGCTTAATTCTAAATGCACTCTCTACACAACTAAAATATATATTGCATAATAAACCAGGAATAATATACACTGTCAATATTATAATTGAGTGCCTTTCCAACTACAGAGAGAACCTATGCTACTATTGCAGTATTAAAAATGACCCCTCTTCTGAAGATCAAGGTAAACAAATTCGAGATGTTATTTAATAACTAGAAAATTTTGTTCGTCTGTAAAACTGCTCAAATCTTTTTCCTTCCCTTATAAGCAAAAATACAAATTGATTGTTCACTGATGAAATATTTTCTGGATATATCTTTTCATGCTGAAAAAAAGAGTAATCCATACAGGTTCATTTGTGGAAAAACCAAGAATACCCTGTGAAGAGGATTTGTATGAGCATATAGGAGATGATAGAAACAAAAGCACTTAATTCACAAGAAAAAAAAAAAAAAAAACTTAGAGCAGATAAGGGGCTTTTTCATCTGAAATTACAGCCCTACTCTTTTATAAACACTTTGATATCACCAGCACTCTCACTCAACAGGCGAGGGGGAGATAAACATGCTGCTTTTGTGTGGCGCCAGCCAATGGAGCATGCTCAGTGAAGGCCCAGGTGTGACCCCGTCTCTCCTGCGTGTAGCAGCTGGACCGGGCAATCCATCATGCGCTCCTCCTGTCAGGCTGGGTGCTCTGCCACAGCTGTCTGTCACGCTGGTGGATGGGACCTGCTTAAAGGCAATCATGTCAATCTCTATGTGACTACTCAGACTGAGATGGAAGGATGATCTTGACAGGCCTGGCAAAGTCAGCAGAAGGCACTAGAGGACTTTAGTTACAGGCTTAAAATTTAGATTCAATTTGTGCTTCTCGTGTGGAGGGACTGAAGTAGCATGAAAGAATGCAGTGTTTTATAGCTGGTCGTCTCGGATGAATCTGTTGCCTTCGGAATGTTTTCCATAGTAAATGTAGCGACATTTTCCCAAGATGCCTACAGGAAAGAGGAAATGAATTGTAATTAGGAAAGTCGTGGAAATTACAATTAGGAAAGTGATGCAGAAGCACAAAAACAATTGAAAAATTTGAAAGAGGGAAGAGAAGGGTTCTCTTGTCTTGTAAAAGAAAGTTTGTTCATTGGAAATATCCACTATTACCACTTCAATCAGCAGCGTGTAACCCACAGGGAAAACGTATGCTCAGATACCTGTGTGAGCTATCCTGTTCAACAAATATCCATAAATGTCTTCAAAAATTGAATCACGTTGATACATCATACGTTGTATTTTAAATCACTGTAACCCTCTGCAGGTTTTGAAAAACAGAGAACATGGATTGGACTCACATTTTGTACTTTCTGCAGTCTCCATACTCTATGTTTAAATGGTTTTCCCAGTGAATAATAAACAATTCCAATAGTTAACTATGCTAAATATCTGTGCACATGGAGAATGCTTTCAAAAATCAGTCAGAACACTGCCTTTGGGAGAGTAGGCACATTATTCTCTGTGCATGCAAGAGGTAAGATGCCTGAGGAAGCTTTAACTGCTGTGAGTGAGACATACATACCTGCAGATCTCACGACTTTATTCAAAAGCATCCCCTCTGGTAGTACTAAGTGGTATGCAAAAGCGTAAGTTCACAGTCACATCCCACCTGTGAACATCCTCAAAGATGCTAAATTTTACTAGCAGAGTTATTCTTTGTTCCCCCAGGCACATACAGTCAAATTAAAGTCACCTCTCACACACAGAAGTAAGGTGAAAGAGTCTCCTCTATCTTGGGAATGTCTAGCACAGCAAGTACTGACGTACCTAGCTCATCCCCATAAGGGCACACATAACCTCGCCAAAAGGAGACAGTCACTGCCATACGTAAAGGGTAAAGATGGGGGAGGAGCTGACCCTCTATCCCCTGTAGTTCTGGCTTTCCACAACTCACACAGCAGGTATTGTAGCCACCTCCAGTATCAATGAAGTATGCAAGTTTTTATATTCTGAATCTATTTCTCCAGTGTAACGTGCACCAGATAAGAACCTAAAGTCTTGAAAGGCATGGGCTGTGGCCGTGTAACCCATTCTCTTCTTTCCTTCTAAGACAGGACAGTAACACATTCTTACAGGGAAAAAAAAAATTGATTGTCCTGTCACTCATTGTGAAAAACACATTTCAGGAAAGCAGAAGTGGAGACAATATGGTGCAGAGCCTGATCCCACTCCCTTTCTCCACAGAGCTTTCATAATTTCAATTTCCATCATTTCAATAGTAAAACACTTTCTACATGTAAAGCATGATGTTTTCATTCCTAAACAAGCATCTAGCAAAAAGCAAATATTTTCCCCTAAACAGATGGTATTCCAAGTCAAACTGCAGCAGGCATTATGTTGGTAACAAGGCCATTTGGAGCTCTAAATGTAAAGGATATGAACAGTTTATTAATGGTATTATTCAGACTGCTTTTTCCCTGGCATTGATAGAAGTGTTGTTTGAGGTCTGCCGCATTTCTTGAGGACTGGAAGCAAGACTGTTTATAGAGATGCTGGTGAGAGAGAGCTGTTTGATGAATGCTGGAGACTGTAGCTAGGTGTCAGCGCTTAGAAAATGAGGCAAGGACATGAGGTATTAATATTGTCAATGATCTCTTGACAGGAAAACAGATACTGCATTCACCGTCAGATTTAAATAGACATCAAGTGCATTAATGACAAAAGGGCAGACTTCAAACAAAGGGGGCTGTATGGTGCTGCACTGAGCGAGTCTCCGAGTTGGCAATAACCTGATCTGAAAAGACACTGTCAGGACTACAGACAGGCCCCGAATTGTGTGCGGTGACAGAAAACAGAGATGCTGACAGAGATACCAGTGCCATATTATGCCAAGTATATTCCTGCGCTGTCTTCAGCCCTAACTAAATCTGACATCATTTCCTATCGCTTATAGTATTCTCCTCTGCTCCAGCAGAATATTTCTCCCCAGACATCATTACAAACTCCAGTGTAGTTTTAAAGTTACTGGCAGGCCTGTTCTGTCATGGAGGTTGGGTCTAGAGGCCTAAGGATAACCTCAGTCAATCTAAATTTGGAGCTTGCTGGAGAAGTGCTCTCATTTTCACTGATATCTCAGCTACTTGAGGTGATCTGAACGCTAAAGTGTGAGGAGCTGTCACCTTGAATAAAATCCTCAAAGTAAAGACGCTCGGTTCCTGGGATGTTCAGCAAAGATGTCGGACAGTCTGGCAGCAGGAAATGAAATCCAGCTGCTGCTGCTCGCCTGGGGATAAAGGTGCTTGGGCTAGTGACAGTTAAAGTCAGCTGAAATTTTTGAACTCCTGCAGCCTACAATTGTTTAAATTAAGGAAGTGTTGTCTCCACAGAGATTCCCTACCAAGGCATACAGCTGTGATTAAATTGCCAGGCATATTACACACACACTGCTCAGAGAGTCTTGATAAAAGCATAGTTGAAAGTGTTGCCATGAAACTCTATTTATCATAAAGGTTATTTGTAAAACAATAACCTGGCTCATAAATTAAATGTAGTGACTGCTTGGGTTTTGTTTTGTTTTCTCTCTCCTTCTCCAACCTCCCTTCGACATCTGCAGAAAACCAAGAACTACAAAAAGCTGCAGTAAGGAGTCTGATGCTAAGATAAGTCATACATGAATTTCAGCATTCTGCAGTTTGCCATCCTGCCCATCTGCAATTCTACTCTCTTCTTCCAGTTCAGGGGCGTGAGCACACTGGAGATTTTGCACACAGACAGGGGGAGGAACAAGGGGGAAACAATAAATCCATGACTTTTGTGTTGTTTTTTAATTAAAATATCCAGCATTGGCCATAATAAGCTAAGTACACCTCCGATGCATCAAAACAACATACAGCATCCCGAATGAGGTTTCTGCTCACGGTTCTTGAGAAATGACAACACAAGGTCTCTTGAGGGATCATCTTCCCCCAAATGAGGCTTCTAATTTTTCTTAAGTAGCTGCTTCTACCATCACCACAAGCTGTTAAAACTATAATTATGAAAAAAATGCATTGGAAAAAATCATTTTTTAATTCACTCTTTATCTTTTAAATGTTTTTCCTTTTCAGAATGGATGTTCTAATTATGCTGGTAAGTAATGACCTTGCAGTTGCTTGCATGTGTTTTGGTATCAGTCTTTCTTCACAAACACATTGTAATGTCAGCAACACCAGCTTTTCCCTAGCTGAGGGAAAACCCAATTATCCAAATAAATAAATAAATACATACATACATACTAAAGCGCATGAGAAATTGTTCAAGTCATGTTTGCTCCTTTTAAATTGGGCACGTGTTTCAGAGAGCTGCTGTGCAATTGGGTCTCCGGACACTTTCCCAGAGTAAGAAAAGTTTGTAGATCTTCATGTATTATGTAGAAAATAGTAAAAAGAATTTGCAGTGAGATGCACTAGATTTATAGATAAGACAGCCTCAGCTATTGGTCTAAATTCAGCTCAAGCCAACAGAAGCCTAAGGGAAATGTTATCTGGTGGTATCTCATGGTCTCTCTTAGGTCACACTTTTTTTTTCTAATAAATAACTGCTCTGCATCTATTTGAAACACCTTTCTATCATCATTGTGAGGGGCATCTGCTAGCAGCAGCACAGCCTTCTCTGACAGCATTCATCTTTCTTTAAAAAGCAATGGCTAAAACTAAACAGTCAAGTCAAAACCTCAGCTTCTCCCACTCAAAACTATCGTCACATCTGCTCAAGATGCCCCTCAGGCACCCATTTTAACATCAAACGTTTTTAACAAACCCTTCTGCAACCTTGAACAACAAAGTATTCACAATTTAAATTGTTTGCCAAACACACTGGTTTACAGCATACAGCAGGTAATGCATTTCAGCATACAGTCCCTTGCCTACCTATCATGTAGATTAACCTGCGTTTAGCCCACTGTGGTCAGACAGAGTGCGAAGATTGTTCATACATAGACTCAATATTCTAATGGGATTTCACTTTGCCTAAGTTTAATTTGAGTACAGTACCTAAATCCTCCACTGCCAATTTGTATTTGATCCATATTCATCTCTTTTTCCACAGCCTGCTGTTGTATAGTTTTGCTATGGGCTATTAAACAGCTGCCATGTTCCACCAAGAAGCTGGGTGCATTTCACTGTGGTTATACTACCAATCTGCAAATTGTTTTGAGACCCTTCAGGATGAAATATCAATACCATTATCTTTTTTTTTTTTTTTTTTTTTCCTCCACAAGCACTTGGGCATTTTCTACAATTAATGAACAGAAGTTGCAAAATTCCCTTAAATATTAATACGAACTTCCTTCACAGGAAATAATTCCCTACCTACAACATTCAGAGGAGAATAAATACTTATCTACAAATAATTTCACATCTACAATGCTACTGATTTAGGCAAATCAGTTGTAGTAATTTCCAAGTCTAAAATCCCTTTATCTAAAGGTATAAGTGAAGCTGTTTTGAAACAAAAAAAAAATCCTTTTGCTCAGGAGTTCAAGAATTTTTCTTTTTATGTTTGTCTTCATGGAATATTAACAACTTTACATCTACTTGATAATTTCTTTTATTTTAAATTAAGTGAAGCACTGGGGTTTGTCAAGAAACTAGGAAACTAATAGTCTCAGACTTTCAGTAACATATATGTGGTAACATATAGACTATTTTGTTCTGATCAATCAGCATTATGCATATACTCTCACAGTCATTCTAGTGTTGTGCTTTTTAAAAAAGATAAATGAAAAATCATTCTAATTATACCTGAACTATTTATTCTATATCATCATTAAGAACATGAAAGCAACTAAATGCCGTAAAAAGCATCAAAGTATTTTCAAACACATTTTCAAAATACTTGCTTTTTTATCCTCAAGAAATATTTTCTGACACAAACTAATTGAAATGGACCATCTAATTATTTTAAAGCAAGAAAATAAAACTTTTTTAAAAATGCCTGAAACTCAGGCAAATCAGCCCAATATTTGCGC